GTCGTTACGAATTATATAGGTGTAAATGATGGTGGTGCTGTGGATGGTGGTGTTGATTTGAGACTGATGATGGTGATGTTGTGTATGGTGATGTTGATTCGTGACTGATGATGTTGGTATAGACAGAATAAAAATGTCGCAGTCAATTATGACCACAATTTCATTGTTGACTTGATAGTATTGTTGTTGAAGTTGACGTTGTTGTTGTAGTTGTAGTTGTTGTTGTTGTTGTAGTAGTAGTAGTAGTTGTTGTTGTTGTTTCTGTTGTTGTTGTTGTTGTTGTTGTTGTTGTTGTTGTTGTTGTTGTTGTTGTTGTTGTTGTTGTTGTTCTTGATGATGCTGTATCTATCTGACGTACATCAATTTTTGATGATGATAATGATGATGGTGTTGATGTTGATGATGATGATGATTATTTTAACGGTAATGATGATAGTAGTGATGTTTTTTTATTTTTATAGCGTAATCAATACTGATGAAACATTTACACCGCTGTTTAAGATATTTACAATTGCTTTCGATCCAGAAGCTGCTACAACGAGATTTAACATCATACTAAAAACTACAACCGTCCTTTCTCGATAAACATTTTACATTCACGCCAACTATTTGAAATTACTGATATTTACATTAAGCCTTAATACTTATGCTAACAAAAATACGAAAGAATGTTTAAGAATATATAAAAACACTTAACAGCCATTAAGAATGTTTAAGAATATATACGAAAATGTAGCATAAAGCAGGCCAACACATTGATATTGGACTCGCACACTCTGCCATCTACTGTCATCTGGGTTGCAATTGGCAGGAAGGATTGCATGTTGTGCTTCTTCCCAAATATCATGTTCATCTTGTTTGGCACCATGCAAGAAATTTGTGAATGTTGAAACAATTAAGATCGCAAGCAGACAATAATAAACTAATAGAATAATATTCTTTAAAAACATAAAAATGTAATAACATTAAATATTTTCAAACAACACGAAGTTTCAAAAATAAAACTTGAATATTGAATTAGGAATTTTTCGTATTATACGTGATTTTAGATGTTAAATATAAAGAAATTATTTTTTTAATTATCTTCAACGTACATTATAAAATCGTAAAATTAACTTTTATAGGTTATGAAATATGAGAAGCAAAAACAAAAAAATTAGTGTCCCGTTAAAATAAGATCATTTGAAATTCTTCAGACGGATGCTAGGCTACTTCACGCTTATAACGCACATCTTCGCTGCAGCAACCGACCACTGCTATATATATATATATATGTACAGTACATATACATATATATATATATACATATGTGTATAAGGCCATTACGTATACAATTTTCATTAAGTTCTATCGCTATAATGTTATTTATTAATTTAAATTATAATTTCTCTACTTCTCTAATGATATATTGTAATTTATTATTTAGTTTATTAATTAAATTAACAAAATGTTTTACAATATTCACGTTATTGCTATTAATTTAAAAATAACATATTAAAATTAAAATAAATTAATGAAATATTTAAACATAAACTAATAAAATTAAAATAGTCTGTCAAATTTTAGTTAAACAAAGTGTTTTTTTAGTTTTTTTTGTTTCTATAGTCACAATATTTTTAACTGTATTTCAAGTTATAGCACTGACGAAAGGCTGTATAAAGCCGACCCTGGCGGCATGCTCTTAATGAAAAGAGTACTTTTTCGCTATGTAAAAAATGATTATTGGAAAAATCTCGTTGCTTCATGCAATAATTGACATAGACTTCTTTGATCTAATATTAACAAATCACTTTAAAGCTTCAGACTTTTCTCGATTTTTCAACAAAAAAATTGCATCGGTTCGTAATGCGACATGCAGCCCTTTTGGACCATTTCTTACCCCTTGCAATTTACATAAAATTTTATCATTTTCTAGCTTTTCAACTTGTTTTAGTGATTATATTAAAAATTTATACTTGACGCACTTACTAAATCATGCTCCCTTGATTGTTCACCTACACAGATTATTAAGAAGTTTTTGCCATTTTTCACCTTTTTTATCAACCTGTGCCTTCTTTCCGACTCTTATTCATTAGCTTTCAAAACGCTGTGGTAAAACTTATTCTGAAAAAAAGTACATTGAACAAATATGAACTTTTAAGTTATCGGCCAGTGTCAAATGTTGCATTTTTGCCTAAAGTTGTTGATCGCAATTTTTTAGAAACACACATAAACACTAATAATCTTTTTTCAATTTACCAATTTAGTTCTCTTCAATTGAGACGACTTTATTGGATGTTTATTCTAATTTGTATTCCTCCACAGATGTTCAGAATGGTTCGTTGCTTGCACTGCCTTTAATTGTGTCGATCACTCATTAATTTTCTGTTCAGCTAACAATCTGCCGATCCTCATAATCTCACCCGTCTGACAGCTCTATGTAGAACCCTGTTGTCTTTCTGTATGCATGTGTTGTATATAATATATCAACGCATCGAAACCACTTAATCACAATTTGACATTACATGCTTGTTTGTTTTGAAAGTACTGCAAAGTTAACTCAGAGAATTATAAATTTAGTCGACAAATTGATTTCAAAATTTCTATTCAAGCCAAATTACTAACTTCAGTTGTTTTATGAGTTTGTTTAGAAAAAAATAATTTATTTTGTTTGTTAATTGAGGGAACGTTTGGCTACTTTTTAGCTATTTAATTAAAACACGACAAGGGTCGGATTAACCAATAAGACAAACTGAGACAACTATCTAGGACCCGTTATTTTGAGCAGCCGAATACCAAATTTGTCGCAACATTATATTTTTATCTATTTGAATATTATTGAGTATATATTTTATATATATATATATAATTATATATATATATATATATATATATATATATATATATATATATATTGACGCTATAGTTAGCGGTTTTTAATACGTCTTTATATTAGTGCGTTTTATTAGCGCAATATAAAATAATTTTTTGTATCTTTCACTAAGAAAATAAAAAAGAACAATTTAATTGTTGAAAAATATTTAATATTTTAATTTTATTTTTCATATTACACTAATTAAATTAATTTTTTTACAACCAAAAAATATTTTTACAAAATTGTCGAAATTTTCACAAATGTGTTTTTCCATAGTCCTAATATTCTAGTGAAGTTGTTTAACGCGTCACTGAATTCCTGTTGCCTACCGAATATGGCAGTCACCCGGGACAGCAAGGCCCGTTGACTTCCCATCTACCTACCAAAAATGTTTGTAATAACCACATAAGTATTTTAAAGTAAGAAACAGTATTTAAATAGTACTTTAATAGTAATAATTACTAATAAATACAACACTTCTTCATAAAACAATTAGCTTACCTGTTCCGAAAATAGTTAAACTGCATTATTAAATGGAAATAAATTATGATTAAAACATTGAGAGTGATGTTGTAGATGTCCCGACGTGCTTCGTAACGGGAATTCTCAGATATCAATAGCTCTTTTAATCCGCATGACCTAGATAGGTACCAAGAATTTCAACTTCCTGATCAACATCGATGACGTCCTGGTTCGAATTATATTCAACACCTCATTAACAAAATATTGTTTGCTATTTTTTTTAATCTGTTCTCATTATAGCGATATATCGAAAACATATTTTTAGATTCTTGTTCCATTCACCACCTTTAAAGTGGCAAAACAAACTACTAACATTTATTTACTTTATGTGAAAAAATTAGATAATACATCAACAGCATGTTTATTTTTGAACAAAAAAATTCTTCATATAAATGAACCTTCAAACACGTTCACATCCCTTCATTCAATATATCAGATTTCCGATTGTGACTCCGTGCCTTCGTGTTTTAAAATTTCATCGTATTCAATTTCAGCAGCTCATTTTCTTTTGTTGTCTGTTTAACAAATTGTTGTTTTTGCCGTTAAACAATATTTTATAATAATTTCAGTTTTTTTTTTAAATTTAGTTTTTAAAGGACGACAGAAGGTGAAGATGTACGTTTTGGGTCCGCTGGGAGCAGATGATCTGTGTTGTTGAGAAATCTAAATAATGCACACCTCAAAGTTATGCCGTCAATCATCTTGGAAAAAAGTTTGCTATTCTTGCGCTAGATTATGATAACGATGACGAAGATAACAACTAATTCTCTCGCAGCTCAAATTATTGACCGATGTCACACCGTATAGAAAGAAGATGGTGTTTCGTGTTTTGATCAAATCTGTGAAAATGATTTTTTGGGAAAAAAACTCTTAAAATTGCCAAAAAAGTTATTTAAAAAAACATTTTTATCGCTCAAAAATAAAATAAAATGTTGTAAAGTCTAGGCATTCAATAGAAAATTGTATGATCTTTCGAAGAATATGTGGCTAAAATGATGTTACAGTTCAAATATGATTCACTGATTTGATGAATGAATGAATGAACGATTGAAGAATGAAAGGAGGGAATGAACGAATGAATTTATAGAAATCATGGATAAATATAGCTATAACTGCATACTTTTTTCTAAACGAATTAAAAAATGTTTATTTGTTTGTTTGATATTAATGTGTACGCATAGGAACAGAAATTTATTCTTATTATTACTTTTAATAAATCCTTTGTTGCTAGAGATACTTTTATTACTGTCACAGAGTTGTTGTGATTCGAATATTTTCACAATCATCTGTTAAATTCTGTTATGACATTTTGAAAATTAATCATCTTTAATCATCATGTACCATTAATCATGCACCAAATAGTGAATTTGGACGAAGGCCGAATAGTAGATCCACTATTCGGCCGCAGCCGAAAGTCGAATACCAAAAAACGCCCAATCAAAAACATATATTTTCGAATAAAAAACAAGCTGATGAAAAAACTGTAGGCGTTTTACTAATATTTTAACGAAATAAAATTCAATTTTTTGTTCAAATACAGATGTTTTAGCAGCTATGAATTATGATGACCAAAATAAATTTTCCGCTAATAATAATCAATATTTGTTTTTCTGAATTATCCAGCCTAATAATTACTGAAGCCGAATGTCGAATTATCTTTGTTCTTGCTCAGGACAACTTTTATTTCATTGGACTCTTCTGGTGGCTGCCTCTCTTCAATTTTGTTTACATTCATCAGATTCAAATTTATTTTAAAAGGTTCTTTTTCTTGGAATTGCTCTGGTTTGGTTTGTTTAAACGTTGATAATAACTCTGCTTTTAGAGCGTCGTAATCTGTTCCTCTTTGCACTTTTAACGACAAACTTGAGACTATATCCAACGGCTGGGAAATTATTACGTAATAAAATCTTGTTGTTTTACATATCACGTTTTGCAATTGAAATTGCATTTCGGAATTCTCGAACCAATCTGTTGACGCTGTTTTCTTGAAAAGAGGTAATATGGCGATTGGATGATCATTTGGTTGGAACATTTTGTTTTCGTTTTGATCTAACCACGTGAATCTTTGTATTTCTTTTTACGTCGGATTTTTGTTCAAAATCACGTGGGATTTTCGTTCAAATCACGTCGGATTTGCGTTCAGATCACGTCGGGGTCACCAATTTGTTAGCAGTGGCGGATCCATAAAGGGGCGATGGGGGCGATCACCCCCCCTACTGAAAAAAAAGAAAAATTTCTAGTTTATTTTTGTCAACTCTTTATTACTGTTTATAAGAAAGCATGCAATGTCATCAAAAACTTTCAACTTTTAATGTCATAAAATAATAAATGTAATGATTTGGATCAAACATAGTCAATATATACATATGAGTACATACATAAATATAAAAAAATTATTTTCCTTTTTTTAATCATATAAGTGTTTTAAAAAATGGGTTTATTTATTTTATTAGACTAGCGAGTGATTTGACTCCTCCTCCGTCCTTGTTCATTCTAAAGCATTTGCTCTGCCACAATTCAACTTCCGATATAAATTCAAGTTGGGTACTAAGTCCAAAAATGGTTCCATAGAAATTACTGATTGCTGAAATAGATTCGACAACAGCTTTATGATTTAGTTTAATAATATTTTCTGGCATCAAAGAATAGATTTGGAGACACTGCAAATTTTTTTTAGAAAAACGAGTATTCATATCCAATATCAGTGCATCAAGAAGAAGGATGTAAACTGATCGCTTGTAATATTCTTCCAATGAATCAGAAGGTACATTTTCACGGCATGTTTGTCGATGCACAAATCTTTTGTAGGTAAAAGCGCCATCTTTTTTAATTATTTTTTTCTGCTGCTCTAAAAATTTTCAAAAACATTTCTTCGCAGTTTTCTCTCTTTTTTGTAAAACATTTAACAGGTCTTTAATGCAATTTTCTGCATCATGTAAATTTAATCTTTTTTTTTTGAAACAATTCACTGAGGCCCTTTGTTGCCCTAAAAATTTCCAAAAACATTTCTTCGCAGTTTTCTCTCTTTTTTGTAAAACATTTAACAGGTCTTTAATGCAATTATCTGCATCATGTAAATTTAATCTTTTTTTTTGAAACAATTCACTGAGGCCCTTTGTTGCCCTAAAAATTTCCAAAAACATTTCTTCGCAGTTTTCTCTCTTTTTTGTAAAACATTTAACAGGTCTTTAATGCAATTTTCTGCATCATGTAAATTTAATCTTTTTTTTTTGAAACAATTCACTGAGGCCCTTTGTTGCCCTAAAAATTTCCAAAAACATTTCTTCGCAGTTTTCTCTCTTTTTTGTAAAACATTTAACAGGTCTTTAATGCAATTTTCTGCATCATGTAAATTTAATCTTTTTTTTTTGAAACAATTCACTGAGGCCCTTTGTTAGAGAGAATACATACAATAAAATCACTTTCTCTAATTGCTGTTAATAAAGTTGTTGCTTTTGATGAAGTTGTTCTGTCATTCCATTTAGATATATTCTTTAGCGCATCAATTATTTGTGGAAGTTCAATACTAAACATCAGCAATGCATCATGTCTCTCAACCCATCGTGTTTCGCAGAGTGAAACCAGTTGTGAATTTATCATGTTCTTTATTATAAAATTTCGTTTTGCAGAAGCATTGAAAAAAGCAACTACTTCACTAATAACACCCAAACAATTTCTTATTGCTTGTACATTCGAACTTTTTGATAAATTTAAAGCATGGTTATAACAAGGACACCAGACTGCATTCACTGCAACCTTTTGAATTTCATCTACTGCTCCTTTTTGTAACAAAGACATAACACTTCAACCATCTGTTCCCACACCAACACAGTTTTCTAGAGAAAGGTGGAACTTGTTTGCAAACATGTTTATAACCGATTGACCAATAATTTTGCCGTCAAGAATAGGTTCAGTGTCAATTGACGCAGTAATATCAGATTGATAATTGTTGTCATGTAGATCAACAAATCCTGCAAAATCTTCTCGAACTGATACATCAGGCAGCAAGTAACGTAATATTATGGTCATTTGCGACTTATGTGATGCATCGGTTGTTTCGTCAATCATAATAGCATGATACTTTTGATTCTCTAACGCGACTCAAAATTTGTTCACATATTTCCTCCCCACAGCATTTAATTAACGCATTTTGTGTGGTTTTGCTAATATAGGTTGCTGATGCTCTTGCCGTTTTTAAATGATTTTCTAAATTTGAATCTCCACCGCTTACTCTAAATTTTAGCAATTCTCGGAAATTACCTTCATTTTTAATCACATCAGAATCTTCATCATCTTTGTCTAATATACTGCCATCATCTCTGTGTCCTCTGAATGGAATATTCTGCCTTCCTAAAAATATAATTGTTTCCACAATAGGTATCAATCTCTGACGATTCTCTAAAACCTGCTGAAGCCGTTGAGCATTTACTCTGTTTACAATATTTATTGCTGGTTCATTATAGTTTTTTAAAAAACACCTCCCTGCTTCAACAGCTTTCTTGTGGTATGTTGCTTTGTCATGCATTGTTAAACCTCCATCTTTGCCAAACAGTTTAGCAAACATTTGTAATGGTTGTTTAATAAGCTTCTGAAGTTCCATTTGTTTGTGAGAGGGATCCTGCAGTCAGGTGGTATGAAAATAATGAGCAATATTTGCAGTACAGTCCTTTTTTATTATCTGAATAAACTAGCCATTCATATTTTTCCAGATGAGAATGATTAAGATATCGCTTTTCTTGTTTATTTTTGTTTTTGTAAAATGAATGTGGCATTTGTAGTCAGCTGGTGGCTTCCATGGCGATTCTAACAGACTTTTTTTTGTCAAATCATCCATAAATGTTCCAACAAATTTTCCAATATCATTGATAAACCCAGCATTTAAAATCTTACTAGAAAATGCCTTAGCAATTTCAGCTGTTCCAGTCTCAGTTGAAATCTGTTCATTTTCAGAAAAAAGACTATCATGAGCTATGACTACTGAATTGACATTCATATTCCGGCTGTTGCTGTCCATATTATTACTTGTTTCTGTTATCTCATGTTCAACATGTTCAGTAGAAATACTATTACTTGTTGAAGCTTCTGCTGATGTGGTTGGAAGTGGAAGTTCAGTTGTTCCACCAACTTCAGTAGTGACAGTAGAATTAGTTGTAGATGCTTCAACAGACTTTTTTCTCTTCAACGTCACAAAAAATGAATCCAAAGTACTCTGTGGTTGTAAAAAATTTGTAAAAAAATAAAAAATCTCTTCATTTTCTTCAGATGATAATGGTTTGTTGTAATTGTTCCTAATATTTTATAATATTATAAAATATATGATTATAATTTTAAATATGATATGATTATAAAATTTATAATTAATGAATGTTTTGATTTAAAAGTAACTTGTATTTACTACTTTGTCGTTTTTAAGTAACACAACACAATACACAATCATGGCGCTTGAAAACGAAAGTTAGACTGTTTAAAAGTGAATAGTGATATAAAATTAAAAAATTAAAAAGTGCATATTTTAAAGGATTACTTAACACTACAATAATGGGATCCGTAGTAAATAATATGATTACTACATCACTCTTTTTAATAGAACAGAGTAGATTTAAGTTTACTGACATGATACGGGGGTGCGTGCTACCGCGTGCGTGCACACTTGTACCGATACTGATACGATCGCGACGTATATGCCGTAATGTCTTAGTCACATAGATTGTTATTTAAAGGGCAAATTGAAAAATAATTTAAACGTTTTTTTTATTTGTGGGCTTGCCCGCCTTGCAGGCAGTTGTGGGTTGTCATGATGGATAAAAATCGCCCTCCCCCTTACTAGATGACCTGGATCCGCCCCTGTTTGTTAGTACGAACTTATGCTACTAACAAGACACCTTGTTGTGAGTTAAAATAAATAAAACAAACACAATTCAGGCGTAATAAAATATTATCTTTATTCTCAGGTGAATCTCGAACCGTTTCGTTTACAAGCTCTCAGGAAAAAAAGGGAAGAAGTCGAGAAAGAAGCAAAGACATAAAAATTAACATAGATTAGGTAAAATTGAAAATTGCAATAATCTTTAATAATAATTAATACATAAGATAGTTAATAAATGAATGTTTGATCCCTACACGGTCACTCTCTTCTTTCCCATTATTATTGGAGTAAGTAATAAGGCGTCGAGTTGTTAAAGATGTAATCATTCATTGTTGGATGTTTATTTGTGGTTTATTGTTGATGTCTATTAGAAGAGCTTCTGCAATTTTTAATTTGTATAGTGTTGTGTTAGCACTTTGATTAATTATTCATGTGCTGCCGTCAAGAATTTGATTTGGTGGGTTATTGAAGTAAATATATATATATATATATATATATATATATATATATATATATATATAATTTGATTTGGTGGGTTATTGAAGTAAATATTATATATATATATATATATATATATATATATATATATATGCGTGTGTGTGTGTTTGTGTGTGTGTATGTGCGTGCGTGTGTGTGTGTGCGTGTGTGTGTGTGTGTGTGTGTGTGTGTGTGTGTGTGTGTGTGTGTGTGTGTGTGTGTGCGTGTACATATGCTAGAAGACCGAATTCTTGACAATATATAATAAATTTCACCGATTTATTAGTGTTTATCAACTTATGTTCAAACTTTTCAATTTGTCTTAGTAAATTTTTATCAACAAATTGAGTCTGTTTAAAATTGAAGCTTTATTTTTATTAACAAACATTTCATCAAAATTATTGCAGATAGATCTATTTCGACGTTAAACTGTTATCGTCAGTGCATTATTTATTAATAATAATAATTAGTATTATTATAATTTAATATTATTAAAAATATATACAAATAAATTCAAAAAAGAAACATGATATTCCAATGAAAATTTTTAACAACGAAAATTTTGTTGATAAAAATTTACTAAGACAAATTGAAAAATTCGAGTATAAGTTGATAAACACTAATAAATCGATGAAATTTATCACATGTATGTATATATTTATATATATATATATATATACATATATATATATATATATATCATATGGTTGCGTGGCTATTGTATTGTATTGTTTTCGCTTTGCTAAAGATTCTCGATTTTCAAAGTTTTAGTGTTGATTTTGTTTCTGAAAATTGGATATATTATTGCAATTAAATTCTAGATACTGTTTCAATTTAATTCAATACATAAATTTGCGTTTTTTGGCATTTGAATCAAAATTTCATAAAGTTTATTTAGTCACGTGATAATTGCAGGTACATTGATTTGAAAATACAGTTTTGTTCCACCTGTTTATTTGTTTATTATGAATACACGTCAAAATCCAAGTAAGACGTTGTACTTACGTTGAAACAGCTTCAATGTTTTCAATGTGAGTGCACGGCTAATGTTGATTCAACGTCTGGCGAGGTTTATTCAGTTGTACGTTTAAACGGTAACATTAAATGGTTCTGTGATAAATGTGTAAAAAACGTTTGTGACATGAAACTGTTGTCTAAATCTATTGATGACATAAAGTTTACGTTTAGTGAAAGGTTGGACAAACTCAACGATGTTAATACTTCAATTAAGACCAAATTGGAAGAAACTGATTTGGAGCTGTTGAAGAAATCGATTGATGAAATCGGTAAATCACTTGATGAAAAAGTTAATGCTATCAGGGCTAACCACGTTGCTATAAGATCGCAGTTGGACTCTATTGAATGCACATCGGGAAAAAAGTTAAATCAAAAGATCAGCGGCCTCAAGTCTGAAATGATGAGATCATGATGAGAGCACTGAAGTGAAACAGAGTGCTAAGATCATTAATTAAGATCTTAAAAATGTCCAAAAAACACTAAATGATGTTGCCGATGCAAAAGAAAGAGAAGCTAATGCGATGCTGTTCAGGCTGGGAGAAGGCCTTGATGACAACGATAGGGTCATAAAAATGATTTCAAAATTGACTGATGACACTGCCAACGAAAAAAATATACTGAAAGTTTTTAGGTTGGAAAAGAGAGATGAAGGAGTTGTCAGGCCAATCCTCATCAAGTTTGATGGTGTAAAAAGCAAGGAATATTTTTTTACCAATTTCTACAAACTCAGATCTTTGAACGACGATTTTGCACACGTCAAATTGAGTCATGATTTGACTGTTGATCAGCGCAAGGAGCTGAAAAAAATTTTGGATGATGCAAAGGCGAGAGAAACCAACTGTGAAAAGGGTTTTTTATACAGAGTGCGAGGGGAGGTAGGAAGGTGGAAAATAGTGAAATTTTTGGCAAAAAAGAGACAAATTAATAAACGGTAGAGTGGGTTCGTGCTATGATTTGTTTGGATTAGTTAAAAATAAATTTCATCACCTAGCAAATAAAGGATCTAATGCTAAATACAATGTTACGATTAGACTGTTAAATGTCAGGTCAGTTTCAAAGAGAGTAGATGATGTTCATGGGTTACTTTGTGATGGATTAGATATACTGGTTTTAACGGAAACATGGCACGGGTTGGCTGGGAATATTTCTATCAATCTAGCCATGCCTGCTGGATATCAATTTGTTGATTTTGTTAGGCAGCATGATCCAGGTCACGGTGGTTTGATAGTTTACTTTCGTAAAGAATTCAAGTACAAAAAAGTAATTCTTCCACAACTTACTACACTTGAAGCAGTTGCTGTCAGATTTTGGGTCAACGGAAGCACATTCATTTTGATTGCTATATATCAACCTGGCTCAGCACAATTGTCTGTTTCATTTTATCAAGAACTGGTTTTGGTTTTAGAGCAGATTACAGTCCTGAGTTCTAACGTTCTGCTCATGAGAGATTTTAATGTACATCACAAAAGAACTAATGATCCATATTTTATCCGATAGGGTGAGGTACTTGAAACCTTCTAGTTAGTCAACCACATTAACGAACCAACACATGCGTTAGGTGGTAGTGCGATTTGGTAATCAGTTCTTGTGACTTTCCTGTTACCAACATAAAAATATTTCCAAGCGGTGTGATGTTTGATCACAGTTTAATAACAGTTGAAACATTGATTCAGACATTTCGGAAAATAACTGTGAGACATGTCAGGTCATAGAAAAGTTTGGACAGAAATCAACTGGCTAGGGATGTTTTGGATTCTCCAGTCTCTAGGCCCTGCCAAAGTAACGATGTCGAGATTGAACTAAAAAAGTTTAACGATGAGTTAAAAAATATTGTCGACAAACTTGTGCCTTGGCGTTTGATTTATGACAGAGGAGAGGGTATGTCACCTTGGTTTGATGATGATTGTCGACGGGCTAAACTAACTTGCAGGCGGATGGAAAGGTCACACAGAAATCACTCGACGACTGATCATCGAAACGACTGGTTGGTTTCGTTGTCAGAAAAAAATAAACTTTATTCTAAAAAACGTTCAAGTTACTGGAAAAATTTGGTTAAAGCTAACAACAACTCTGAAAATCACTGGCAGATCCTGAACAGAGTTTTGTGTAGAAACAACAAAAGTAATAAATCTGATGATAATATCAACCTCAAAGCTCAATTCACGCAATTCTTCACAGACAAGATCAACAAGATTTTAATGTCTACCAACGTTTTGGTTCCGTCAGCACATCACAGTCATGTTACAAATCTTGTTTCATTGTCAGATTTTTCAGAAATAACAGAAACCGAACTTAAAGGCATCTTAATGAATTTTTTTTATCCTTTTACTTTTTCTCCTTCAAAAACAAATTCTCCTTCAAAAACAAGTTCACTAGATATTATTTCGACGCATATTTTTAAGAAATATATACACTGGTTTATCTGCTTTTTTACAAGTTTTTTCAATCTCTGCCTGAAGTCGGGTGAATTTCCTGCTGGGTTCAAACATGCTACAGTTGTCCCGATTTAAAAAAAAAGCCAATTGGGATGTTAACGATGTTGCTAGCTACAGACCGATATCAAACTTTCTGTTTATCTCAAAGATCATGGAACACGTTGTTCTCAAGTATATGCTAAATTATCTAACAGAAAACAATTTAATGTCTCTCAATCATTCAGGATATAGGAAGTTTCATTCAACTGAAACTGCCTTATTGAATGTCTTATCAAGTTTATTCGCCGCTGCAGAGCTCAGAGAGTATCGTTACTATCGTTTTTGGATATGTCGGCAGCGTTTGAATGTGTCAACCATGATGTTCTTTTGGCAAAGCTGCGTTAAAATTACGGGGTAATGAATAATGTATATAAATGATTTGAATCATACTTATCAAATCAGACACAACAGGTTTCATTTAATGACTTAGTATCAGAGGTTTCCATCATAACGTCAAGGCTCAGTTTTGGGACCCGTTCTTTTTTTTCTGTACACGTCGGAAATTACCAAAATAATCAGTTCCTACGGATATCTCTGCCATGCATTTGCGGATGATATTCAGATGCTGGTTACTAGTTTTCCTTGTTTGTTCATTCAAAACTGAATTTGAGGGATTTATCGGATGTTTATCAGAGGTAGGCCGTTAGATGTCATCAAACTCGTTAAAACTAAATGAATGCAAAACTCAATTACTTCCGGTTGGAACGCGGCAGCAATTGCTGAAAATTGATTTTAGTTCTGTTAAAATAGGAGATGTTGATATATCATTAGCTGATACTGCTTCCAACCTGGGTGTTTTGCTTGACAACAAGTTATCAATGAAAGATCACATTAAAAAGATTTGTCTTATCCACCTTAGAAGCATGTATAAAATTAAACATTTGTTGAATAGACCTACTTTGGAAACGTTGGTCCACGCCTTCATCACATCTCATTTGGACTACTGCAACAGTTTGTTCTACAAATTGCCGGAATCATCAGTTGCCGTCCTTCAGTCGGTGCAGAACAGAGCTGCAAAACTCGTTACTGGTGGTTTGAAGTATGATCACGTGACACCGATTTTGAAAGAACTAAACTGGTTGACAATAAACAAAAGGATAGTCTTTAAAATTGCAGTTCTCATGTTCAAGTCTATAAACGACATGTCACCTGAATACATGAAAAATAAATTTACTAAAAAACAAACAGCATCATCTTCCCATCTCAGGTCGGATGATTTGAATCTGCTTAGAGTGCCTGTCACGCGTTTGCAAATTGGTTCTAGGGACATTGCAGTGGCTGGTCCCTCTGTTTGGAATAACCTTCCACCTATGTTAAGAAGATTGGGAATTTCACTGGATTTATTTAAAAAAGAACTAAAGACTTTATTTTCTGTGAAATTGTTACCTTGATTATCGTTTCATGAACAGTCACATATAACATTTTGTTTTGTTTTTGAGAGAACGCTTATGAAATTGTTTAATTGGCATTTAATAAATTTTTCTCAATAATATATATATATATATATATATATATAGCGTTGGATAGATTTTATTACATTTCTCAATATTTATAACCAAATTTTTGTTGTCATTAGGTATTTATTTTATTAACGTTAGAATAATGTACAGTTTTCCAATTCATTCTCGAGTGTATAAGACCTATTTCGATTTTTCAATAATCTTCAGCACTTGTTGCAGTTTAGATAGGGTGTTTGTATATATATACGTATTTATTTATATATATATATACATATATATATTATTTTACACAATATATATATATATATATATATAAAAATTTTTGGCAGGAGTATTGTTACTGCTGACATGTTGGATGTGCCCACTTGACTGATGAGTTACAAAAGGCAGTCCATATAAATCAAACATCAAATTTGTTGCCTGAATTGCCCAACTAGCGCAAAATTTCAGAATAAAACTAATTTATAATTTTTCGTAAAACATTCAGCACCGTAAAAATAGTGCATTCTTCTTACAAACACAAAATTTTATCGTCACTACAGTTTTCCTTCGTTATAACTGTCATTAATATTGAAGAAAGACTTTTTTATGCTACCGACGCCATCTTTATCAGCATGCATCATCAACAATTTCGGAACTAATGTTATGAATGCAATGCAAAATTGCTCTTCCTAAAATTAATTACCTCATCGTACACGGCATCACAATCTACAACATCATCAGTCTTTATTTCATTTTTTGCAATAAATTTTGTTTTGAAAAAATGAATAACAACAACCCTAGCAAGATTCTTAGTAATATAAATGACAGCATTTGCGAGATAAAATATTATTGAAACAATTAAAACAATTAAATTGAAACAAGTGCTGATTGTACTTTTATAAAATTATCACTAAAAACTCGCTTAAAACAAATATCGTCAAGCCTTAAAAACCTTTAAATTAAAAATAGAAATTTCTGGTTAGATGTAAAATAATGAGTTAGTTTTTGACTTAAAAAAATATTTTCTCACAGATCTATAATGATAGAAAATATTATTCGAAATCTAAAAAAATAAAAAAAATAATTTAAACAGAAATTGCAAGACCTCTTAATAACAACAAAAATACAACTTGCTAAGATATTCCAAGACAACCTATAGATTTTTTATATTGACTGTTTCATAATATCTGCTTTTATTTCGTTCATTTTCATGCTACTGCCCATGAATTTGAGTAGAAAAAGCCTAACAATGCAGTATAATAAACAGTAAGCTTATGTTATGCGTCATTACAATTAGTCAAGATAGCAGTAAAAACAAGTATGTTTGTTTTGTTTGTTTATGATGTTGTGAAATATTAAATTTACATTTATTAAAATATAAATTTTACGACAAAACTTAGTTTTTGTATTTAAAGAATGGATTCAAAAACTTCAAAGCTAACAGAACTTACAATGTCTAATCGTTTATTTGGACAGCTATTTGAAAAAGAAACTGCAGTAAAGTTAAAGCCAAAAATAAAAACTGCCTCCTATTTCACAATAAACAGTGATCTGTCCAACTATCAGACACCTACTTTTAAAATCTCTAAAAATTCTTTCGATGAATGTTTTTTCATTTTATCCGATGAAATATCCAGAAGGTTAGCAATTTTTTCTGGCGAATGTTTGCAAGAAACTGTTGACAACATAACGCCTTACGGAATGGCAATTTTAGACGGCGGTACACGTTTGGCTGTTATTGATAAGTACGGCGGAGGCATCGGCAGCGGGGTTTCAACTTTGAACTTTTACTCTCTAAACTATGACAACAATAAAACCACACTCGTTGATAAAACATGCAGGGCTACAAAATGGTACTTTAGTTAGTCGTTTACCGCATGGTGAGAGAAACAGCAAAAATGAAAAAATAATCAAAACCATTGGTTATATCGGTGGACATAAAAATATATTAGAAAGTAAATCGTTAAATAAATTAGATTTACCCAAAGATGTTTGTAAACTGTGGCAACGTTTTTTGTCATGTACCAGCCAACATGAACTAAGTCTTAGTCTGATTCAAATTTAGCCTACCTTGACTCAGCCACGAGCCGACATCGAATATAGTTTTTGTCAGTTTTTCTAATACGGTAGGCATCTCATCTGGGAAACATGAAACACAAATCTGCATGTCATTTGCGTACCCATGGCAATAATAACCATTTTTATTCAGTAAATCCATTATCTCTGCAACGTACAAATTAAAAAGAATCGGTCCAAGAACAGATCCTTGAGGCACCCCTGACGTAAGTTTCATTGGTTCCGAGAAACCACCTGAGTAAGAAATCTGCTGAGTCCGACCAGTAAGAAATGATTCGAACCACGTTAACGCAATCTTATTTAAACCATAACAATATTTCAGTCTGTCCAGCAGGATTTTATGATTCACAGTATCGAACGCCGAACTTATGTCTAGGAATGTCAACAAAGTTACTTTTTGTACATTAACTGCTGAACAAACATGAGAGAATATATCCGATAGAGCTGTTTCGGTCGAATAAAACCTTCTGTATCCAGATTGATGCAAAGGCCAAATACCATTTTTATTTATATGATTATTTAAAACTAACTCAACGGAACGTTCTATAATTTTAGAAACGAAAGACAAATTTGACACCGGCCTATAGTTTATCAGATCTGATTTATCTAATCCTGTCTTTTTTAAAATTGGCGTGACAATTGCATGCTTGCAAACCTGTGACATTACACCCTTCGTTAAGCACATGTTGATTAAGTCAGTTAAGTAAACAATAAAACAGTCAGCATATTCTTTGAATACATGCGTCGGTAATGGGTCGAGTGAGCATGACTTCGTAGGTGACGAATTAACAACTTTAGATATCTGTTCTTCAGTCAACACTGGAAACGATTCGAGTGGAAACATAATATTAGTATTAGTAGAAATAACTGGAAAATTAAAACATTCGGTTGACTTTTCGGTCACTTTCAACTTGTCAGCAAAAAATTTTTTAAAATCATCGGCGCTTTGCATTGAACCAACTTCATTTTCAACACTTGTTTCTTTTCCTAATAATTTATTAATCGTTTGCAATAAGTATTTGAAATTATTTTTAAAGTGACATGTTTTCGCGAACCAAAAACTCCTTCGTTTCACTGAGTAACAAACATTCTTTTATTTCATTGCCAGTACCCAATCAACTTTATCATTATAACAACCAGTAGTTCTGAACCTTCTTTCTTTTTTTCGACACATTTGCTTAGCCTTTTTGCAGTCACTGTCAAACCATGGGGCAGTCGGGACATGTTTCCATCGAACTTCATGAAGTGGAGCAGCATCGTCAGCAATTTTTAAAAGCTCTTCATTGAATATTTTAAAACCCAATTCGACATCATCATCTTGACCATAATGTTTGAGATAGGTGAGCACTTCAAAAGCTCAGTCAGACGTTTTTCATCTACTCGTTTCCAGAATCTGATCCACGATTTCTTGAAAATGACTGGAGTCGGATTGATTAAAAATTGACCAGTTACTAAACCATGATCTGAATAGATACCAGATGAGTACAACAGTATATCTTCTAACAAAAAACCAACCGATGTGACAATCAAATTCAGGGTACCACCTGGCACATGGGTAGACTGATTAATTCTATTGACTAGATCAAAACTAGAGAAAATATCAGCAAGGGCTATATATATATATATATATATATATATATATATATATATTTGTGAGTGTGTGTGTGGTGTGTGTGTTTGTAAGGAGACCATAATTGATGAATATTCGATGAAATCTACTAATTTTTAGCTATCGTAAACTTTCAAAAGCTAAAAATTCGGTAGATTTTATCAAATATTGCATCAATTGTTTCCTTCCAAAATATATATATATATATATTTAATAAATAAATATATATATATATATATAAATAAATTGTGCATTATGTAAATTGTGCATTATGTTAATTTTGTCATGAATTATAAATTTACTTAAAAATCGTGCCAGAATGAATCATTTGTGAACGGTGGCCTGCGACACAAGAATTTTGTTTTCTTTTAGCTTTGGTTCCCTAATTATTATTAATTTGGATTGATTGAATAAAATTTGATTTGATTTGATATATACAGAATCGTGCGGCCAAGCTGGTTTTGGGTGGTTCGAGGTTTGATCATGTTACGCCTATTTTGAATAGGTTGCACTGGTTGAGGGTTGAGAAACGTGATTTTTTCAAGTCATCAGTTTTGATGTTTAAATGTGTCAATAATGCAACATCTTCCTATCTCGTTGATAAATTGGAATCATGCAAATCTCATTTTTCAAAGTATTTCTTCTAATCAACCGAGCGCAATTTATTTTTTATCCGACTAAAAAGTTAGCGACGGGTTCCCTCAACTTTGCGGTTTTTGGCCTGGGTGTTTGGAATGGTTTGCCTCCTTACTTACGTGATCTTAACCTACCATATTTATAATTTCGAAGTCAGCTTGAAGCTTATTTGATTGCACAATGAACGTTCGTCTTATTTGTCTATGAATCGGTAGCGCTTCTGAGTTTCAACAAATAAAAAGCGCTGACAGCGCTTTTTATTTATTGAAATATTTATATACAGCGCTTACAAATATTACAGCAGCAACAAATATTTGTTGAAATATTTATATACAGCGCTGCGCTGTATATAAATTTTCGTAATAATTATATATATATATATATGAATGTATATATATATATATATATATATATATATATAATTGATTACTAAACCCTTTTCAGCTGCACTATAAAAAATTTAGTTATTAAACAATTTCGAATCTGAACATTAAAACCATGGATATGGATATGGCATAAAAATTAATTTATCACAAAAATTAATTTTTTGTTCTATGGATCAAGCATCGTCGTTGTTTTCGTCAGCGTCTTTAATTAATCGTCTGATCTGAAATTATCGCTTGCGAAGTTTTTGTCTCATTTGCTGTTTTAATTCGATTTCGTATTTCATTTTATATATTATATACTATATTTAGTACATTTGAAAAAGAAAAGGTTTTAGTATAATTTTCTGCATTTATACATTTTGTTTTATACATTTTACATTCCTACATGCATTACAATTACATATATAGACACATAAATAAGTAGTTAAGTACGCATGACATGACATTAAGATTAAACTATTAGAGAATCTTAATTCTTAACTTGTCAAAATAATATTAAAAACAATAATACATTTTTAATTAGAAAATATTTGCTTAGTATTTGATTTGACAGGCACAGATTCTCAACCAAATCAAAATGCTTGTGTGTTTCATTACAAAATGACACTCATCTTATTTAGATGAAAATGTTACTATACATTTACACAGGTTAAATTAATTTAGATTATACTATACACTATAATATAGCTGTAAAGTATAACACTAATATAATTATAATAATCAGCAAACAATTATATATAATAATATAATATAATGTTAACTCAAAGTTGTATAAATAATTTGTGCTGATATTAATTAAGTTAAATTTAAATTCAGTCTGCCAAAAAATGATATTAAGAGAATGCAATGGGAAAACCTCATTAAAAAATACATTGACAATTACGATGAAAAAAAAGATTTTAATTTGTAGCAAACATTTTACACCAGGAAGTTTTCATAAAATTGGTTTGAAAATTTTTCTTCAAAAAGATGCTTTTCCAACGACGACGGTGGTTTGGTTTTTCCTTCCCGTTGTGTCAAGGTTATTAAAATAATTGATTTATAAAAATTTTTGCTTTATGCTTTTTTTATATCATTATCATAAAACAGTATACAAGAAAACATATATTACAATTGAATAACAATAGGAACAATGCATTAACAATCATTAACAGTATTGCCAATAACAGACAGCTACCAATAAACTATTCCTAAAATTTATTAAACAGATTTGTCATGTAACAGAGAGGCAATTAAAAATGGAAACCGAGCAACATAAAATGAATACTGAATCAGTAGTTTCAAATTGTTTTAAAAGGTTGGCCAATGAAGATTTATTAAATCTCAAAAAATATATAACAGATACATTTAATGAATTAAATAATCATTATTTTTGTTTACTTAGACTTATTGCGAAAACATATATAAATGTACGTTCATTTCAATTCGCAAAAACCACAAATCAAATAAAAATCTGTTTTAAATTTCATAAGTTAATACATTTCAAGGGACAATAAAGTCATTTATCAATGAAAAGATTTATCAACCATTTGTAAATTTTGAATTGTTTGATTTACTTAGTAATTATATTTGTTTCAAATATATATTAAACATTCTTTTGCTATCTGTTGGTAAAATCTGTATTTTTTATTTGGTCATTATGTTTTCATAAAACCTGTCACTCTAACATCTTCATTATTTTATATTTCATTTATTTTTTTTATCTATGAAATAATTATTTTCAACATATTTTAACATAGTTTAACATACTTCATTCATATTTCATTTCTAATTGAGTTTTCACATTTGATTCATACAATTGTTACAATAATGCATCAACAATTATTTCAATTCTTCATTGTTTTGGAATTTGTTTTTTCATTCAAAACATTAAACAATTGGCCTTCAATTTTTTATTCCTTTCATAATTAGTTTTTGAAATTATGCTGACGACAAAAAATTTTTAATATTGTAAATATAAATCAAACCCCATTATTGAAAAATGTTCATTATACCTTTTTATATATTCATCAACTAACAAAATAATTTTTAAGACCTTTTTTTCCTAACATGTATGCCTTTATATCCAATCATTTAATGTTATCAAATTTTTGATTCCAATTTAAACATGCATTTTTTTAAATCTTTTTATAATATTCAGTATTTTTTCTGCAAAAGTT